TAAACATCTGATTGATGCTCTCATCCCCTCCCACAAAGTCAGGATTCCCATGGTAACAGAGTCCGTTGCCCTCCACTCCCCAACACACACACACTCTGTGTTACTGGTGTAATGACATGTTAATGGCTGCCATCACCAGATCAGCAGCACCAGACTCCACAGTAATCTTCACAAGATTAAAGGTGCAGCGTTTTATGTCCTTCTATCATAATAAAATCATCAATCCATCATTACTATGTTAATTTAAAAAAATTGAATTATTACCAGACAGAAATAAAACCCTTATTAAGTAGAATATCAACTTTCACTTTTAATTTTCAACTGGACTCCCTTGAGTCAGAGGAACTGGAGTTGGGACAAACTGTTCAAACTGGAGCGTCCAGTCTGAAGTTAGCGTTAGCTGGCTAACAGTAAACGTGTCAGTCCTGTAGAAGCTCTGGTTACTGTTGATGGGACACAAAGCTTCAGTTCCTCCCAAATTAAAATCACATTCCTGATACCACGTCCTGTCCCACTGTCACTGGGGTTATCAGACTGTGTGTTGAGATCTGAGTTAATGTACTTTTAAAGTGTTTAATCTCCTATAGAAAGACATCAGTATTGGAATTAAATCACTCAAATATTTATATAATCTTAAACCGATTTAAACCTGTTGGTGCAAAGGCAGGTGAGGAACGCTGCAGCCTAAGACACCACACATCATTTTCATCAGGGTTAAAAACAGCAGTCGTGCTCAGTATTTAAAAGCAGGTAACAAATAAAATGTACCCCTGCCACACAGTAGATATAAAAACCAGTGCATATGTTCTGGACTCAATTTTAACATGTTAGCAGATTGACCCAGACCGGGGGCCCAGAAAGGCTCCTTTCTGCCTCCCTCACTCAGACCCTCACAGGGAGTTCAGCTGCTGCTGTTGTTATTGATTCACTTTTAGTATCAAGGGTAGAAAGAAAAGCAAACATTCGCATTGATTCTCACAGATTTTAAGCAGTTTTGTTTGTAGTACTTGACATCTCTATCTAATTCTGTCCTGAAACAGTCACCTAAAGATATCCCATCATAATGGTTTTGTATAGTTGTTTCTTTATAGCAGACATAGCTACAGCTCTAATATTCAGTACTATATATGAATATGTTTGTTGTCTGGACTAGAGCTGAACCTGTACTGCAATTTTGAGATTTACTATACAGTGGGTACGGAAAGTATTCAGACCCCCTTAAATTTTTCACTCTTTGTTATATTGCAGCCATATGCTAAAATCATTTAAGTT